AGGGAGAAAGAAAGAGAGAAAGAAAGAAAGAAAGAAAGAAAGAAAGAAAGAAAGAAAGAAAGAAAGAAAGAAAGAAAGAAAAAGAAAAGTGAGCCCAGAAAGAATGTACAAGGCGGAGGCAGGAAGATTTCTGTAAATTTGAGGTTGATTTGAACTTCCAGGTCAGCCTGGGCAAGAGTGAGACCTCCATCTCAAAAAAACAGCCACAGTAGTGCATACCTTTAATCCCAAAACTGGGGAAGCAGAGCCAGGCAGATCTCTGAATTCCCAGGTCAGCCTGGCTTACATAGCGAGTTCCAAGTCAGTTTGGATTACATAGTGAGACCTCATCTCAAACACACACATACAAATCAACCTTCTGCTAATTCTTTTTTGAGCTGTTACTAAAGCAGACGAATCTGTGTAATACTTATAAACACCAAAGTGTTGAAAACCCTTCTACTGACTTCACTGGTTTCCTCACCTACCCTTTCCTACGAACCTTCTTCGAAGGAAGATGCAAATGAAGAGCGCAGGCTTCGAAACTTTGGTAACATTATCTAATCCTTTCTAGCCCTCCCCACTCCCCCTTAGACAAAAGGGTCTTGCTACTTGTAGCCCAGGCTGGCCTAGAACATGTAACCTTCCTGCTTCAGCCTCTTGAGTGGTGGAATCATAGGCCAATACCACCAGATGCTTGGCTCCTAATCATCATTTAATTCGGCCTCATTCAAAAGCTCTTTCCACCTTGCCAATATACCCATCTTGCATGTGGTTCACAAATCTTAGAGTTAAAAGGATAATCATTACCTGTTTAGTGCAAGATTTCTCATTTCAAAAGTACTTTTTACATCTTCAATTTCATTTTCCAGGTCTTCAATTTTCCTTATTAAATAAATCAGAGAATTTGGTTAATAAAATGAACCAAAGGATTTCAGCAATGTCAGCCAAAGTTTTCACTGAAATAAATGAAGTGGAAATCTTTGAAAAAAAAGTTAAACACCTTTATCTGATTAGAAGAAACCTAAAGGCCCATCACACAGGTGACTCGTGACTCTCCATAGATGTGGAGAACTGAGGATTCCTGAGCTACTAAGCTAAGCACGTTGAAACTGTGTGTAGAAGTGACAGTGATACAACCATCCCTCTAATATCAAATTGTCTTCAGAAAATCAACAACTTCCAAACAAAGGCATGACATTTGGAAAAATAAAAAGAAAGCATTATAACACAATATGATTAAATATTAATAAAAGCCACAAACATTTTAAAACACAACATACGCTTCAATTTGGTTTTCTTGCATGATTTGCTCTGGAGTTCTTTCTTCATCTATAAATAAATAAAAATTTGAAATCAGTAACATTTTATTTGATTACATTTATTGTGTGTGTGTGTGTGTGTGAGAGAGAGAGAGAGAAAGAGAGAGAGAGAGAGAGAGAGAGAGAGAGAGAGAGAGAGAGAGAGAGACAGATTTTGTGTGGAGGTCGGAGGACAATTTGTGGGAGCTAGGTCTCTCCTACCACGTGAGTCCCAAGGATTGAACTCTGGTTGTCAGGTCTGTCAGCAAGTACCTTTACCCTTTGCTATCTTGCTAGCCCCCTACCACACTTCACAATTACTTTGCAAGTTTCTTTGATTACCTGTTCTGCTACACAGAATGTACACAATTTTTTAAAAAACATTTTATTTATTATTTTTATTTTATGTGTATGTACTGCCTGCATGTAGGTAAGTGCACCCATGCCGTGTAATGCCTGTGGACAGAGCAGCTGTCGGATCCCCTGGAACTGGAGTTAGGACAGTTGTTAGCTGCCATGTGGGTGCTGGGATTTGCACCGGGGTCTTCTGCATGAACCAGTGTTCTTAACCGCTGAGCCATCTCTCCAGCCCCACACAATTTTTTATAAAGTTGATTTTCTTTGCCCTAGAATTCTATTCATCATTAAACTCACAAAACTTATTTGAAAACGAACTTACTTGCATCAATCATGGACTTATATTCTAAGAGTTGCTGTTTTGTCTGTGCTCTCAGTCTGAAAATGGAAGAAGGCAGACAGACGTGTTGACTGATGGAAGTTACAATTGTCATCACACAATAAATGAACTACTCTTTATCAGAAGCTAAGATATCGAAATGAGCCCACACAATGAAACAGCATTGGAATCTTCCAGTTTGGACTTATTTTTATTTAAATGGGTAAAAAGAACTTGACTCAGAGAAGACAGAAAATACTGTGGAAAACAGCATTTTTGAGGAAAGTTAAAATTTAATTCTTGGGCTGGAGAGATGGCTCAGCAGTTAACAGCACTGACTGTTCTTGCAGAAGACCTAGGCTCAAGTCCCAGCACCCACAGGATGGCTACCAAGTGTCAGTAACTCCAGTTCCAGGGGATCCGTTACTCTCTTCTGTCCTCTGAGGGTACTGCATGATACAGGCGCACTTACATACATGTAGGTATAACACTCATACACATAAATTTAAAAAATTAATAAAAGTTTAATTCTTAAGCATATTAATAGGCCAGACTGAAATGGAGTCATTAAATTACTATACAAAGTGCTGGGTGTAGTGGTGCATGACTTTAATCCCAGCACTCAGGAGGTAGAGGCAGGTGGGTCTCTGTGAATTCAAGGCCAGCTTGGTCTACTTGGCGATTTCCAGACCAGCTGGTGTTACAGGGAGACCCTGCCTCAAAAAAAAAAGACCAAGAAAAAAAAAATTACAAAGAAATAATGTTTGGGGTTTTAAAAAAAAATTTTTTTTTTTTTTTTACCTTTTTGAGATAGAGTCTCACTGTAGCCCCAACCTGCCTAGCCTCTCCCTCCCAAGTGCTAGGATTAAAGATGTGAGTCACCATGCCCAGGCCCCAAACACAGTTTAAATACACTGACTATAACATTTTCAGAAGATACAGAAAAATAACAACAAAAAATCCAATCTATGGACAGATAAGTAATTCATATACACAAGTTTCTCAGTCCTATTATTCCTGACCCCAAATCAAACATTAAATAAGTAGAAAAAAATCTGGGTGTGGTGGTGCATGCCTGTATCATTAGCATTTATCAGGCAGGGCTGCCCTGAGTTCAGAGCTAGTCTCTATATGATGAGTTCTAGGCCAGCCAGGGCCATAGAGTGAGACCCTGTCTCAAAAAACAAAAACAGGGGCTGGAGAGATGGATGGCTCAGTGGTTAAGAGCACTGACTGCTTTTGCAGAGGACCTGGTTTCGATTCCCAGCACCCACATGGTGGCTACGAACCATCCTTAACTCCAGTTCCAGGGGAATCCAAAGCCCTCTTCTGACCTCTGAGTCATTGCATGACATGGGTGCACTCACATACATGCAGGCAATACACTTATACACATAAAATAAAAATAACAGATTAAAAACTATTTTTAAAAAAACAACACACACAAAAAAATTGGGCTGGAGAGATGGCTTAGTGGTTAAGAGCACTGGTTCTTCTTGCAGAGGACCTGGGTTCAGTTCCCAGTATCCACAAGGTAGCTAACAGCGGTCTAACTCCAGTTCCAGGTGATCCAAAACCCTCTTCTGATCTCCTCGGGCATTGCATGGCATGAGTGTACTTAACACACATGTAGGCAATGACCTCATACACAGAATAAAAACAAGATATTTTAAAGAAATAGGTTGGGCTCTCTCCATATCTAACACTTGCTGAGCATACACTCATCTCTGAGTCCATCTCCAGTACTGTATATCAACTTTCTAAGCTTGAGTAGTCTCACTAGAGGCAGCAGGGAGCATTTGCTTCAGGGCCTTAATCTGCCCCTTGACACCTAATTTTCCCTAGCAAGTATTTACTAGAGTGAAAAACAAACACTCCTACTAGAACAGGTAACAAACGAAGCTTCTGCATAGCAAAAGGTTGTAGCCATAAAACATGGGGTGGGGCCTCCTCCATTCAGTGATGTGGGTTGGATGTGCTCCATATCCTACTGGGAAACTGGAGCCCCAGGACCACAGCGGGGTGGGGGTGGGGGTCAGGAGAAAGGCTCCTACTTCTGGTACTGCGCTAGGCACTTTCTCAGAGTGTCCCACCTATTCCCCTTAACATCTCTGGCCCTTAGCATCTCTGCCACCCCTTTGCCCCGATTAGGGGTTTAAAGAGGTTAAGTGAATGAAGCTGTCAGGCCCGGGGCCATAACAGTCTGAACTTGAACCCTGGTCCTCCTGCTCAAAAGCGGACTGCGGCCATGGGGAGCACCTGAGCAGCAGGCAGATGCGGTCCTCGCTGCGGTCCCCGCTGCGCTCCCCTCCGGGGTCTGCAGCCTCCTCGGCCGCCTGCTCCTCCCGCAACTGCTCCATCACACCGGGCGCAGGGGAAAGACCTAGGAGCCGAAGTTAGACAGGAGTCACTCTTCCCGCCACGAAGTCCACGCCCGGAAGGAACGCTCCTGGACCGCCCCTTCCGCTCCAGGGCCCCACCTCTTCCTCATCGCATCCGTTGCTATGGTTACTGCTCCGCCCTTTCTCGGGCTTCTAGTAGAGAGAGCAGGGGGAGCAACTTAGAGCTCGAGTACCTGTATTGCACATGCAGAATCCTGGGTTAGATTCTTATAGCCCCCGCCCCCGAATCCAAGCCTCTGGAGAGAGATGTATGGAGATGTAGCTCAGTGGTGAAGCGGATGTTCTGGGGTCGATCCCCAGAGACAAGGGTCTCCCGGAGCCCAGGCTGGCCTTGAACTCTCGATCCTCCGGCCTCCACTTCACAATTGCTGAGAATTACAGACGTCCACCAAATGACTGACTCTTGCGTAACTGTGCAGAAAAATTCTTTACTCATGCAGTGCTGGAGAACCAACCCCCGGGTCAATCATAAGCTACTGAATGAACTACACCCCAACCTCTATTAAACCTTTGATTTGAGCCTCTAAGGCCCATAGCTGCTTTAGTGAAGAAAGGGTGCCTCACGTAGGAGCAGTGCAGGCACCTGACCCCCAGACTTCATGACTCCCGAGACTGAGGTGAGTACCTGGCCAGAGTACATAGCAAGAGCCTGTTTGCGGGCGGAGGTGTTGGAAATCAGGTCTGAGAATGAACTGGGTGTCCCCAGGGTTCTGCTTTGTGACTAGACAGGTTATAATTGAGCTGTAAAGTGGGGGTTGCAGGGTTAAGAAAATGTCGAGCATACAAAATTTTGATTCATTTGTAGTTTTTCATTTTGGGTGGTCACGGAAGGGATAATGACTTTGCAAAACAAATTGAAGGAAGGAGAATTCCTTTGAATTCTCTTTGAAGGAAGGAGAATTCCTTTATTGCTAGTTTTCCCCAGTTGATCACACTGCTCTTCCTCCTTGTTATCAAAGTACAGTAGCTCCAAAGCGGGAGTGCTATGGCACACCTATAATCCCAGCGCTTTGGGAGAATGGATGCAGGTTCAGAAGTTCAAGATCAGCCCTCAGAACTTGGAACTTAGCCAGTCTGAGGCCAGTCTGGGATACATGAAACCCTGTCTCAGGGTAAGAAGGGCGTGGGGGGTGGAGAAGGAAGACGTTTCAAAAGTACAGTAGGGCCAGGTGTGGGGCACGCCTTTAATCCCAACACTCAGAGGCATTGGCTGGTGGAGTTCTATGAGATCTAGGCCAACATGGTCTACATAGTGAGTTCCAGGTCAGCTGGGGCTACAGGGAGACCCTGTCTCAAAACAAAAACAAAAAACAACAAAAATCAAAAGCACAGTAGGAAATAAAATGTCAGATTGATTACATGGAGAATTTATTTTATTGTTTCTTTTCACTAATTTTGTTTTATAAAGAAATGACCCCTAGGCCGGTGAGATGGCTCAGCAGGTAAAGGCACATAACGTAGTCTGAGTCTGATGACTGGAGTTTGACCCTTGGAAGCCAAGAAAAGGTGAAAGGAGACAACTAACTCTCCCAAGTTGTCTTCTGACCTCCACATGTAAGCCATGGCATGTGAGCCCATATGCTCACATCGTGCACACACACACACACACACACACACACATACACACACACACACATCATAGCAGTAGTAGTAGTAGTAGTAGTAGTAGTAGTAGTAGTAGTAATGAAAAGCCTGGATGTGGTGGCACATGCCTGTAATCCTAGCACTTGGGAGGTAGGTGGATCTCTGTGAGTTCAAGGCTAGCCTGGTCTACAGAGTGCATTCCAGGTCAGCCAGGTCTACAAAATGAGATTCCGTCTTAAAAAACAAAAAAGTAGGGCTGGAAAGATGGCTCAGAGGTTAAGAGCACTGGCTGCTGATGCAGAGGATCCAGGTTTGAGTCCCAGAACCCACATGGTGACCAGGGGAATCCAATGTCCTCTTCTGACCTCCTTGGGCACTGCACGACATGGGTGCACTTATATACACATGCAGGCAATACATTCATACACATAAAATAAAAATAAAATATAGAAAATCAAAAAGCAATTAATAATAATAAAGAAAAAAAAAGAGAAATGACCCCAAAGGTGAACTTGATGACATAAGCCTGTATTTGGAAAATATAGGCAATAGGATCAGGATTTTCTGGTCAGCCTTGGGTGCCTGTAGGGTTCTGATTTGCCAGGTAGAAGTCCTGTTGCTAATTCACATGTTATTTTGACATTTAAACAAATAATTAGGGTCCATAGTAAAGCAAAATAAAAGGGTAGTTAAGGGTAGGGAACTAGTTTTAGAAAATTCTATATTATGGGGCTGGAGAGATGGCTCAGCGGTTAAGAACACTGGCTTTTCTTGCAGAAGACCTGGGTTCAAATCCCAGCACCCAAATGGCAGCTAACAACTGTTTGTAACTCGAGTTCCAGGGGATCCAACAGCCTCCTCTGTCCTCTGTGGACATTGCACAACATGGGTGAACTACATGCAGGCAATACACACACATAAAAATAATAAAATATTAAAAAAAGGAGAAAATCCTGTATTACCTATAAAAGAAATGAACTACCATCATGCCATTTGCAGTGAGATAAACGAATTAGGAGAGTATCATTAGCAGATGCTAATACTAAGTGAGACTACTAGCTACCTTTATAGAGTTCTTTTATTACACGTGTTTATGTGTGTGGAGGTCAGAGGACAACTTTCAGGAGTGCGTCCTCTCCTTCCACCAGGTGGGTCTCAGGGGAGGGGGAAGGAATGCCCCTAAAAGCAATTAGAAAATGCAAAAAGACAATGGAATAAACCCTGTTGGTGGTACACCTGCAATCTCAGCATGTGGGAGGCTGACAAGGAGGATCAAGTACAAAGTACAAGGCCAGCCAGAGCTACACCAGACCCTGTCTCAAACATACAATGAAGAAAAGCCAAACCTAATCAAACCCAAAACATCAAAACCAGAATACAGACCTTAAAATAACAACCATTTTAAATAGTACCAGACCAAATGACAGTTCAGCTAGTTTCCAATGAAGAATGAGAATTTCAAAACATTCATGAAAGATGAAAACCTACAATTTAAAGCCAGTAAGGAAAATAAGACAACAAAACAGAAAGCTGTAGCCCCAAGAACCAAGCCAATCTTGCAGATGTAGAATCACTGAGGGGTTGGGGTAGGGTTGGGGAGTTGGACTGATGGCCCGGTGGTTAAGAGCACTGGTTGCTCTTGCTGAGGACCTTCGTTTGGTCCCCAGCACCCACATGGCGGCTAACAACTGCCCAGAACTCCAGTTTCAGGGGATCTGATACCCTCTTTGGACCTCCGTTCACACTGCATGACATGGATGCACTTACTTACATGCAGCCAGTACACTCATACACAAATAAGATATTAAAAAACAACAAAAATACTGGATTTTTCAGTTTCCAAATCCCTTCTCCACTTGTGGAGAGTGGTTGTGTGTGTAGTTTTAAGTTTCTTTACTTTTTTTTAAAATTTATTTTTATTTTATGTATATGAGTGTATTGCCTGCATGTATGTGAGTGCACCTGTGTCATGCAATGTCACGGAGCTTAGAAGAGGGCTTCAGATTCCCCTGGAACTGGAGTTAAGGTTCGTAGCTGCCATGTGGGTGCTGGGAATCAAACCTGGGTCCTCTGCAAGAGCAGTCAGTGCTCTTAACTGCTGAGCCATCTCTCTAGCCCCAAGTTTCTTTAATTTTATATTTATATTTTTTTCACAATGGTACTTATTGTTCTATGGTCTACTCCCAGTGTTTTTTTTTTTTGTTTGTTTGTTTGTTTTTGTCTTTTTTGAGACAGGGTCTCCTTGTAGCCCCAGCTGTCCTGGAACTCACTATGTAGACCAGGCTGGCCTTGAACTCATAAAGATCCACCTGCCTCTGCCTCCCAAGTGCTGGGATTAAAGGTGTGCGTTCGGCTTTCCCAGTGTTTTTAAATGTACAAATGTCTATGTCATGTAGTCAGACCCAATAGTTTTATTTTTATGTGTATGTTTTGCCTGCATGTAAGTGCACCTGTGTTGTGCAGTGCCTGTGGAGGCCAGAAGAGGGTGTCAGATCTCCTGGAACTGGAATTACAGGTGGTTGTTAGCTGCCATGTGGGTTCTGGGAACCAAACCCAAGTCCTGTGCAATAGCAGTCAGTGCTCTTAACTGTTGAGCCTTCTCACCATCCCCCATTACTTTTATTAAAAAATTTTGTGTGATGTATGGCTACTGGCACCCACGGGGGCCAGAGAATGGCAAGAATCCCTGATCACTCTTCACCTTACTCCTCTAAAACAAGGTCTGTCACTGAACCTAGAGCTAGGCTTGTGTACAGCAAGGCCAGAAGTAATCGCCCCCCCAATACTGGGGTTACAGGCACAAGTGGGATCTGGTGAAAAAGAAAAAAAAAATTCATGATTTATCCAGGCGTGGTGGTGCACGCCTTTAATTCCAGCACTAGGGAGGCAGAGGCAGGCGGATCTTTGTGAGTTCGAGGCCAATCTCCATAGTGAGTTCCAGGACAGCTGGGGGCTACAATGAGACCGTCTCAAAGACAAAAAAAAAAAAAAAAAAAAAAATACTGGTGATTCAAACTCAGGTCCTTGTGCTTGTGTATTAAGTGCTTTTACTGACTAAGCCACGTCCTGAAGTTGACATAAAAATGCCTAAGAACCATTCATATATGCATTATTTTCTGAGAAAACATCATTCTATTGCAGGAAATCTCAAACATGTCACATTAAATGAGGAAAACCCAAATGGCATCATACATAAAATTTGCCTGTGAAAAACTACATGGGGGACAGTGAGATGGCTCAGCAGGTAAAGGTGCCTGCTGCTAAGCCTGAGGATCTAAATTTGATCCCTAGGACCCACTTGGTAGAACTGTTTCTCTTAAATTGTCCTCTGACTGCCACAGAATGGTGGCACACACACACACACACACACACACACACACACAATAAATGTAATTAAAAGCTGGAGAGATGGCTCAGTGGTTAAGAGTACTGACTGCTCTTGCAGAGGACCCAGGTTCAATTCCCAGCACCCAC